AAAAAAAAAAGAGAAAAAATTAAAAGATTTGAACATAAGATCTCCAGCATTCTAGGCTTGCACCTAGATGCGCTCGACCATGTAGAGTACTTTTAAATCGTTCTTATAAACGAGGTATATTACTCGCATGGGAAATTGTAAATAATTAATATCTCGTAAACTATCGCATTTTGACATAATTTATGCCATTGTGGATTAATGGGAAAGGTATACGATTCTAAAAATTTATTTAAACATATATGTCATATGGAACGTCCTTTTATCCCTTATATCGGTAGCCGAGCCGGCCGAGCCGGCCGAGAAACATTTTCAGCCGCTCGCGACAAGCGGACGAGCGAGAGGGTCCGATCGTGACGTAGCGTCTGCCATCTCGCTCGCGCTCGGCTAGTGCGCATGCGTCGAAGGCTGAAGGACAGACAGTCGTGCTGTTGCGCTCTCTTAGCCGAGTCAAGCCGAACGCGGCGTGCTGGGACCCCAATGTGCATCACTGGTCCTGTGATTATTTTAAGTCAGTTAGCGCTTTCGTTACTAGGTGGCGTCGTAGATTTAAGTTGTGGTGTGGGGGGGGGCTAAAGCGGGGAGCACAGACTTTTGCATAAAGCATGTGCATAAGGAATTTCATTGGTCCATTTTCTTATGCATGAGTTAATGGACCAATCAAATTCTTTATGTATATGGTTTATGCGTTATGCAAAAGTCTGTGCTCCCCGCTTTAAGGTTGATTTATACTGGCCGTAAACTGTTAACTTATGCCGTAATCTGTAAAAATTGTCCAATCACAGTCGAATGAAGGTTGATTTATACTGGCCGTAATCTGTTAACTTATGCTGTAATCTGTAAAAATTGACCAATTATAATCGATTATTCCCCTCTCATTCGACTGTGATTGGTCAATTTTTACAGATTACGGCATAAGTTAACAGTTTACGGCCAGTATAAATCAACCTTTAGGCTGGAGTCACATTGAGCGGAAATCTACAGCGGAACGAAACAGCGAGACCAATCATGCCTGGTTTATGCTTCGGTCTTAAGACTCAATCCTAAAATTCAGCCAATAGAGTTCAAATTTCGGTTAGAACTGGCTGCTTTATTGGTTGAATTTTAGGATCTTGGGATTAAGACCATAATGAAGCATAAACCAGGCATCACAATCGCAGAAAGTAAAACTAATGCCTAGTTCACACTAGGCGCGATGAGTGATATGCGACGAGCGATAACCAATAAGAACTCTGCTTTACGTCGTGTGAGCTAAAGCAGAGCTTTTGGATATCACTCATCGTTCATCGCCCATCGCATCCAGTATGAACTAGGCAAAAGACTCCATGTATGCGGTGAGCTGCGGCAAACGCATGCGGTAACCAATCAGGATATCGATCATAAAACTTTTTCCCTAGGAGGAAAAGTGAAAAGTGAAAAATTTCTCCATTAAGATGACAGGAGTGACCCGTGGAGACTAGAAATATTTTTGTTATGCCTTTTTTTTTACAAAAAAATAGCTCTGTACGAGCCTTCAGGGCAGCGATCATGTAACTTTTCTCCTAGAGCGGAAAGGCGAAAAGTGAAAGGCGAAAACTTCCACTGGAAATTACATGATCGCTGCCCAGGAGCCTTTCCTAATTATGAATATCACAATTAAAACGCGATCCATCGAGTTTTTTGGCCGTAATTTGGGAATAAAAAATTCGTCTTCGACTAGGAGGTTTCTGGGTCAATCTCCTGTCGACCCTTAAGGAGCCTACAGACCAGAGCGGCGCAGCGGTGAAGCGGCGAGCGATAGCCAATGAGAGCCATGCTTTTGCGTAAAAGTATGGCCCTCATTGGCTATCGCTCGCCGCTTCACCGCTGCGCCGCTCTGGTCTGTAGGCTCCTTTAGGACTGCGCACAATGGAGGAACAGATATTAGATATTAAAATATTAACCTATCGGATACCTGCAGTTACACCGGAATACACGATTCTGATAGGTTAATATTTTAATATTTAATATCTGTTCCTCCATTGTGCGCAGCCTTAACTTCAATGGTAAAAACATGAAGGAAGATATAAGGAGACTCCACTCAGTCTCGCCAGTCTACAAAATATGGAACCATTTTAGGTTTCGAGTTCAGTTTCCGATTCTCGACACTCGCAGCGCTCGTGAATTTAGTAGTGTTTGAGTGCGAGTAAGAGAAATGATCATTTCTCATTCGCACTCATTTATGCGCAACACTACTAAATTCACGAGGGCTGCGAGTGTCGAGAATCGGAAACTGAACTCGAAACCTATAATGAGTCCACTTTGATTTTACAGAGTGGAATCTCCTTATATCTTACTTCCTGGGTAAAAATTTTCACTTTTCACTTTTCATCCTAGGGAAAAAGTTTCACGATCGATACCCTGCGTAGGGAATTTTTTTATTCTTTTTTTCTAGCGTTGTGATTGGCTTGTGCTCAACTGACTCGTGTGCAATTAGGCCTGTTCTTTTTACCGAACTGGTACACAGAGTGCAATAAGTTGAAGTGAAACAGATATACGTTTGTTTCATTTCAACTTATTGCACTGTATGTACCAGTTCAGACAGTGCAGGCAAAAAGAACAGGCCTATTGATACACACCCGTGGACACAAGGCAGATTTTTGGTACTAAAAATTTCCGAACACACTTTTATGCATCTTATCTGTACAAGTGTAGAAAGTACAAAGAACAGACCTATGATTTGACGTTTTCACGGCAAATCGATCGAAAAGTTACGGACGGGAAGTGTAATCGTTGATTTCTGTATTTTCTGTATAAGCGAGCATGGCGCGCGGTAGTAGTGCTGGTTTTGACAGGCATATCACGATCTTTTCACCGGAAGGTCGGCTATACCAAGTAGGTAAGGGTAAAAAATATCTCAGGTGCGAACAGTTATCATATAATCAGCGTTGTCACAGATCGCCTATTTGTTTGCATTTTACACGTGGATGACGTCGGCGTAATCGGCATTTTGAAATTTGTTAAAATACTATATTTCCCTTGTTTTTCGCGCAGAATACGCCTTCAAAGCTATCAATCAAGGTGGCCTGACGTCCGTAGCTGTCAAAGGGGTTGAGACAGCAGTTTTTGCGACACAGAAAAAAGTGCCTGTAAGAATCTCCTAACATCTTCCTATTTGAACTTTAAGTTCAGTTTCTTCCAATTTTTTATGTATCTTTCAGCTTAAAACTTTGTTAGAAATGATACCTTAGTATTTAGAAATACATGTTTTAGTTAATATTTGTATTTATATCAAAGTAATATATCATCTTCCTTTATAGGATAAGTTGCTTGATGCATCCAGTGTCACTCATGTATTCCAGTTGACGGACAACATCGGTTGTGTTATGACTGGTATGATAGGTAAGTTCGGATAATTTTTAGTGCTATGTCAAACTTAACGTTCTCTTTCTAATAGCGATTTGAATGCATTCAGTATGCACTGTTGAACTTATTAAAACTATTGTTTCTTATAGAAACCTAAGAGAGCTTCACTGATATTTTTTTTTAATCACATATTTCATGTTTTTTTATTGAACTTATTGATTATGCAATATACAGAAGACATCAGTCAATGTAAAATTAATTGTTTTAAGCATTAAAAGCACTATTGTTCAGTATTTTTAATGTGATAAGTTAGTCAGTATTAGATTTCTATAAAGGCATATTGATATAGAGATGTATGTTTGATACAAATGTAGAAATGCATCCAATTAAATTTATTATAATTCCTATCCCACAGCTGACAGCAAGTCTCAAGTACAACGCGCGCGATACGAAGCAGCTCACTTTAAATACAAGTATGGCTACGAGATACCTGTGGACGCTTTGTGTCAGCGTATCGCAGACATTAGTCAAGTATATACGCAAAATGCAGAAATGCGACCTCTTGGATGTTCCATGATGCTTATTGCGTATGACAAAGAGAAAGGTCCTTGTATTTATAAGGCCGATCCAGCAGGATATTTCTGTGGTTATAGAGCTATCTCTGTTGGAGCAAAGCAAACTGAAGCTAATTCCTATCTTGAGAAGAAATTAAAGAAGAAACAGAATTATGATTATGATGAGACTATACAACTAGCAATTACTTGTCTGTCTACAGTTTTGTCTGTAGATTTTAAACCAACTGAAATCGAAGTGGGTGTTGTATCAAAGGACAATCCTAAATTCCGGTAATTTATAAAATAATTTTGATATAGTAATATTTCATATATATCGAAATTTTATTTTCTACTATTGTACTTTTTCTTATTAACAATTTTTCTGTTACAGTATACTGACCGAGCAAGAAATTGATAAACATTTAACTGCAATTGCCGAAAAGGATTGATAATGTATACAATTCATAAGAAATAAATACGTCCTGCCTAACACTTTTTTTTTACTTAATATTTAACGAACAAGATTACAGATTTTTGTGCAGAAATAGGTTTATCACGTTAATAAACGCTGCCGTGATCATATTAAAATTTATTTCCTTTATTACATATTAGCCTTAGTAAATCATAAAATTAAAGTGATTCTTAAATTATTACTTTCCTGCTGCAGTCGCCAGTGGATTCCTCAAAACCAAGATGACAGAATCTCCACGTAGAAACATTTTTGGAATAAATCTGTCTTTATTTACCGGTTTTGCCTATTTATAAATATCTTGATTAATAATACAAATATTATTAATTTAAGTAACTTATATTTATTTTTTTATTAATTTTGTATGACTTGCAATGAATGGAGTATCTTGAATGTATTAGAATATTTATTATCTTATTTTCTTCCTAAATTCAAATATATACAATACAGTCCATTTTTTAATATTAAGTAATTTGATATAAATTTATAGAAATAAAAATATAAATCTAAATAAAAAAATTTCTAGATTTCTTGGTCAAAACTAATTTTAAAGCTTAAATATTTTTATGTGAGTTTATATACATAATCTGATTCTGCTTATGAACAAGTTAAAAAAAAAATATTTTGATGCGCTGTTTGTAGAATCATATATATATATATATAGAAGAGAATGTTCTAAATCAGACTGTGTTCCAAATCAGACCTTTTTTATTTAAATAAATAAGGTTAAGCAAATTTGCGTGCTATTCATAATATGTATAAAGTCCTTATAAGATACCGAACATGTGACAACAGTTTGGCAGTACTCTGTTATAACATTCGTAGAATAAACGCAAATATGTATTTTCGGTTATCATGCGAAAATTTGTTTAAAAAAGAAAATCATTATAAATCATTATTTAAAAGATGTTAAAAATTTGAACGGTAATTGATTTAAGATAATTGAAGAGTGTAGAATTCAAGAATTTCGTGATTACTTTTGCAGTTTATTGTCAAATTTGTTCCAATAGTTCAAAAGAACCTGTGTCCAAATTAGACCTATACAAAAATAAAAAAAGACGAGTAAGCCAGCTAATTCATTGAAGAAAGGTTTGCCACGGTCTGGTTGTAAGACTGTGATAGACCAACCAGATCTGATTAAAGAACACTAAATCAATAAAATACCATATGTCATCAGACTCAGATTGATAAAACTTTTTACTGATTTTAATTCTAATAATATAAACTGTATTTTTATCTTTGAGTCTTAAATTGCTCGTTTTTACTCAATACTAACAAAATTTAATTAAAATATTTTAAAATTCTATCTAAAAGTCCATAAAAATAGGAAAGATTATGGTTCCAAATCGGACTGGAAAATGCATTTTTACATTTTCCATTATAGTTTGACACAGGTAAGAGATACATCAAAATTAAGCAAAAATGAAAATTAAATGATCTTTCAAACAGCACCATTGATTTTATGATCAGACTTTATTTACGCCTCACAGAGAACAAAAACTTGGTCTGATTTATATCACTCTCCCCTATACATATAGAAAATAGAAATACTTAACACTAAGATCCACTTTGACCAAATATTTCTCTTACTTAAATAATTTGAACAGTCATGGTACAAAATTTAAAATAAATTTTAGAATCTTTAAATAATAAAATATATATATATATTACTTAAGTAATTTGCTAGAAATATATGATTATGCATACCTTTTTCTTGCCCTTTCCTGTACGTGGAAGTTCTGTCCACATCTCTTTTACATTTTCTAAAACCATATTGCAATGTCTATCAAAAGCCTTTACTCGTCCTAATAACTTTTTGTTATTCCTGCAATTTATTAATACTTGGGTATTATTCTTGACTGATTGTGTTAAAACAGAGAGAGGCCCAGTGTTGAATTCTTCCTCTTCTCTTTTCGCCAATTCCTCCGGCGTCATCTCAGATTTTGGTTTGGTTAAAGAAGACCTGATACACAAACAATACAATATTACATAATATGTGCCAAACATTTTAAGTCAATTCTTTACACGTTAATAACTAATAATGCAAATAAATAAATTTTAATATGTGTGCTATAATTGAGGTTATCCTTGATATAAATCGTAATAAATTAACATTAAATATTGAAAATGAATAAAACTGCACAAGATATTACAAAATATGTACTTAACTTACATTCTGTGATGTTCTTGTTAAATAGTATCAAAAATTATCAGAATTGATAATTTTTGATACTATTTAACAAGAACATCACAGAATGTAAGTTAAGTACATATTAAAAATGTCGGACGCTCGACGCGATGTCGGGACTCGAACCGAGGACCTCGTATGTAGTTCGAAACACAAAGCCACCGCCTTGCCGCGGAGCCACACAGCCCGACACGTAGATCTTAATTAATATCTTACATTCTTTCACGATGAAATCGAGAAATTGTTTTTCTTTTTCACGAAAGAATGGCGCCGACACAGTACACAGTATATACAGTAGCGCAACTCTCCTGATTTTGTGAAGCCCAAAATGGAGTGCGCATGCGCGGAATGGGTAAGTTGCCCAGTAACACTGTAATTATACATGAGCAATTTTTACATTTGTTCAAACTTAATTTTTTTGAAAAAAAAAAAAAAAATAATGAGAATATTAAAATGATAAATTGTAAAAACCAAACAAAAAAAAATAAGATGAATTCAAACAAATGTTTATAACTCGTCCGGATTATTTTCAATGTTAACATGACTTATAAATTTTAAAAATTTGGTAGACCTTTTCATCGCAAGCAAAAAATTGTGCGCCTGCGCAAACAAACCTAGCCTCACCTGGTGGACTTTCGTACACTTTTCGTAAAAATACACGTGAAAAGATCGATTATTTTAAAAAAAAGTTTTTTTAATTATGGCAAGCACAAATGATAGAAAAGGAACAACAAAACGTTGCTGTTATGGTTTATGCAAAAGTGACACACGCTTAAAAAGTTTTAAAACTGATAATTATTATTTTATCTCGTTTCCCAAACCGTGCCTGTCATTTAGAAAGGGTAATGTCGAAACAAAGCAATTAAAAAATCACACGAAAAATTGTGATAAATGCAATAAATGCAGTATATGGGTGAGAGCATGTGGTCATCCTACTCCGTTTAACAACATTAAATATGTTATAAAAGACACGTATATACTATATATGTTCGTTGCATTTCCACTGGGAAAGTGGACCATCTGACGAGTACCCGGACCCTATTCCTTTTTATGAAATATTATTAATAATATTATTAATATTATATTATATTATATTATAAATAT